CTGTTTTTTTTTTTTTTTAATAGTTAATAGAGAACAAAACACTTTTCTTAAACTTTGAGAACTGTATAGTCTATGTCATCTAAATATTTTTTAATTAAGAAGAGAGAAGTTTTTGCACTTAGCAAATTATTGAACAAATCAACTTATTTATTTTTACAGTGCTGGGAATCAAACCCAGGGCCTTAGGCATGCCAGTCAAGCACTTTAGCAAATAATAATAGCTAATAAAAATTTTAAAATAAACAACTTATCAGAGGGGGTCTTTGGCTCAAAAGAAAGTCTACAGTCACTTTGGTCTGTAGTATGGGTAAAAGGAACGGGAGGATAAAGAAGGAGAAAAAGAGAAAGTTGTAAGAGACAAAAAGAGTAAGAGGAACAGCGGGTGGAACAGTATGCTTCAGGTGGGAAACACATGGGGAGCAGCAACCTGCCTGGGAACTTTCCAGGCCCTGCAGCTAAAGCATGGCATAGCCATGTGATGCTCTGCAGCCATGCTCTCCTGGTCCTTAGCCTGGCTTTGCCTGGGGTACAACATCCACTATTCTGAGTATGCTGATCCTAACTGTTAGGGGAAAGCTCTGGAGCCATGGCTTCTCAAAGTGTTTCCTGAGAGCTGCGGGGCTGGGTGGAACATTGCCTACTCTTCCTGAGCCTGGATGCAGAAGCTGTGTGAGGAGGGTAGGCTCACTAGGGGGAGCCAAGCACGCATCCTGGCTTACTGAGAGCTTTCTTCCACATTTTTTTTTTGGGATTTTAGAACTCAATTCCATAAATTCGACAGAAATGGGACACTGTCCTTCTGTTGGAAAAGGCACTCCTTTAACAATGACAACAGGGTGTTCCAGGGGATGGAGTCTCAGGGTCAGGGAAAGTTCTTATGTGGGAATGGTCTTTAGGATGTGCTATGGTTGGAATGTGTCCTCCAAAAAGCACGTACTGGAAACAATCCTCAGTGCAGTGTTGGGGATGGGATGGGGACTAACTGGAGGGGGTTAGGGCTCCATCCTCATGAATAGATTAATGCTCACTACCAAAGCGCTTAGGCCTTGAGTCCATCCTCTTGTTCTCCCTTGCCCCTCTTATGCACTCAGAATGAGGGAGCAAGATACAGCTCCTCCAACTTGGATTTTCCAGCCTTTAGAACTATGTAGCAATAAATTTCTGTTCATTATAAAATCGCCTTATGACTGTTGTGTTCTGTTACTGGAGCATAAAACAAACTAAGGCAGTGTGCTACCAGCACTGCTATGAAGTGGTATCAGGTAGAAATCAGCCAGTGGGAGTGGAGGGCTGACCCTGCAGGGAAAGCACCTGTATCTTTCGGATGGTCTTGATGGAGTTTGGCATCGCACCTCTGTGTGTACCTCAGAAGTTCAGAAAGCAACACAGCCACAGAAAGCCAGGACTGCATCCCAACTCTACTCTCCTCCGCTCTGTTCGGGGCTAAGAAGACCTCAGGTTAAAGGTGGTGAGGTGACATGGTGAGGTACGAGAATGAAGTCAGCACACAGCCTGGCTGTCTAAAGGTACCTGACGATGACATGTCCTTGTCCTCTATTCTCTTTCCATGTAGGAAACACGTTTAGTGATAACGAAGTTCAAATTATACTTTTCAATCTTGTTTTAGCAAAACTGAAGCCTGGCCAAGTGTGACTTTGATGAAAATGGAAGAAAACACGGGCTACCAGAATTCTGAAATAGCCTGGAGCTGGATGGGCAGGATTACTGCACATTCTGTACATCTATGTGTGCCTATATATACTCTCTTCCTCTTAAAAATGCTCTCTGGGTTTTTCGTGGGTGCAACACTGTTTGAAGAGTGCAGTAGCCCTCCTCTTATCCTTGTTTTGCTTTCTTTGGTTTCAGTTACCTGTGACTCAAAAATATTAAATGGAAAATTACAGAAATAAACAATTTACAACTTTTAAATTAAGTGCCATCCTGAGCATCATGATGATATTGTGTGCCAGCTTGCTCCATCTCACCTGGGAAATGAGGCGTCCCTTTGTCCAGCATATCCATGCTGTGTATGCTCTCCTCCTGTGAGGGATTGAGAGGCCACTCTGGTCACTGTCCCTATTGTTGTGGCTCTGCACTACGTACAGGGTTTGAATCTGTGATTTCAGACAGTGACTAGAGGATCTTAGGATGTATCCCCAGAAGACAAAGGGAACTACATTACAGCATTGTAATTTATTATAGGAACACAATTTAGAGAAGTTAAAAAAAAAAAAAAGCTTGGAGCAAAATAGTAGACAGAAATGGCAAAATTTGCACAATTAAATGAGTCCCTGGGACCTGTGGCACAATGTGGAATTGACAGTCTAGAGCAGACTGGGGATCTGAGGCTCTAGTGTTGCCATTGCTGCTATAGGAAATCCTGCAGCAGCTCCATTAGTTGTAAGCATGATTTTCCCCCTCCACTCAGCAAACAATGAAGGAACTCTGTGCAGTTTATCAGGAGCTGTGATAAACAGCAAGACAAGGGCAGCAGGTCCAAATCCCTAAGGAGCTTTCTGGAGGAAGACTAATGAGCCGTAAGTCTTAATAGTATGAAGTGCTTTGAAAGAAGAAGGGTGAGTGCAAACTTCCTAGGAGATACAAAGGGGGAGGCCAAAAAG